AAGCATATTTAGCAGTATCCAGTGTGCGCAGTGGGGCATGTGGGGCACATCAAGCAGGTCACAAAATGAAATGGTTGTTATTTCGATATGGAATGTATTGGCCCACTATGCTCAAATACTGCATAGAATTTGCTAAAGGTTGCGAACAATGCCAAGTTCATGCAGGTATTTAACATGCTCCTGCAAGTGAGTTACATTCAATTGTTAAGCCTTGGCCTTTTAGAGGATGGGCATTAGATCTAATTGGTGAAATTCGACCAGCATCATCCAAATGACAGAAATATATCCTTGTTGGTATAGATTATTTTACAAAATGGGTCGAAGCAATTCCTCTAGTGAACGTTGATCAAAAGGTCATTATGGAGTTTATCCAGAGGCAAATAATTTAAAGATTCAGAATACCAGAAAGTATTACAACAGATCAAGGTTCGGTTTTCACAGGGCGAAAAATGCAAGAGTTTGCAAAAGAAATGGGATTTAAATTACTCACGTCAACTCCTTACTAGGCTCAAGCTAATGGACAAGTAGAAGCAACCAATAAAGTCATTATAGGTTTGATAAAGAAACATGTAGGACGAAAGCCAAGAAATTGGCACAAAACTTTGGACCAAGCTTTGTGGGCATGTCGAACATCTCCTAAAGAAGCAACAAATACTACTCTGTTTCGACTTACCTTTGGACATGATGCAGTGTTGCCAGTCGAAATACACTTACAATCAGTAAGAATCCAAAGACAAAATGAAATACCAACTGATCAATATTGGGAAATGATGATGAACGAATTAGTGGACGTGGATGAAGATAGGCTACATGCTTTAAAAGTTATGAGAAGACAGAAAGAAAGAGTAGCCAGAGCATACAACAAAAGAGTTAAAAGTAAGTTGTTCTCGACCAATCACTTGGTATGGAAGGTTATATTACCTATGGATAAAAAGAACAGGTTATTGGGTAAATGGTCACCCCATTGGGAGGGTCCCTTTCGAGTATTGAAAACATTTTCGAATAATGCTTATGAAATCGAAGAATTAGCAGAAGATAGAAGAATCTTGAGGGTAAATGGGAAATACTTAAAAAGGTATAAACCATGCTTGCAAGAGGTTAGAATCACTGCAGGATAATGCATGAGTTTTTGATACTCTCGAAATAGCCTGGATGAGTCAAAAAACAAGTATTTCTTTATATCTGTCGAAATACATGTTCTTTGGGGGCAATTTGTTAGCTGGCTATTTCGAATAAGGAAGAAACCACTATCAAAATAATATTTCGAGTGAAGTACCTAAGGAGATTAATATAAATATTGGATATTGGTGGAAGATATGGAGTCTTTATGTTGAAGGATTATTCAAGTTCCAGCAGATTTCGATTTGGACTTTTTTGGTGTTCGAATTACAAAAGAGCTCCTTTATGTAAGGGTGCCATAAGTTGGAAACGGTCCAAGTAATTGGGTTATTTCGAAAGCAACGAAGAGACAAGGTGTTTCGATTGGTACATATTTCGAATTTCAAATAAAGAGCGCCAGTCTAGAAGACGCGTGGAAGTCAGCAAGCATAGGAAGCCTGCATGCTTCGAACGTGCCGTGATTTTAGGATAGGGCCGTTAGGGTCGAAACACTATAAATAGGTGTTCTTATGTTAGATTTAGATATGTTCACTACGCCAAATAAGCTATTTAATAGCGTTTTTTTTGTTTTTGATAGCGCTTAAAAGTGCTATTAACCGCGCCACTATTGTAAATATTTCTTATTTAATAGCACTTTAAAAGCGCTATTAAAGTACCAATTTATAATAGCGTTTTAATTAAAGTGCTATCAAAGTCAGTATTTTACATGTTTTTTGTTTGTTTTTTTATAGCACTCTAAACAAAAAGCGCTAATATATAACATATGTTTGATAGCGCTTTCAAATAAAGTGCTAATAAATGGTACATATTTGGTACAATATTTTTAATAAGTACAGTACAATATTTTTTCTTACACAATCATTTTTTTTAGTGTAAATATAAAATAACTATATTCAATTCAACACAAATAACGCTTTAAGTTACTCATTGCATATATATTATGATCCATCAAATACCAAATAACATTTTAAATTACCAAATCCTATTGTTTCCAAATATCATAACATATAGAATATTAAGAGGGCGTTTGCATAGCCAAATTTGTAGATGCCCATCTATGAGTACTTCAATCCAAATCCAAAAACATACAATCAAATTCTCTAAACAAAACACCAAAAAAATAAGAAAGGATAACAAAACAATCCCATGTAGTAACCACCTTCATGATCCAAAAGCGTTGAACTCATAGATACAATCACTAATTAGGCAAAATAATTGCTTCTTGTTTTCCTGTATCATAGAAGGAATATTGATTATGTATTGTACAATAAAAACTAATTCAACATATAAAGAATAATCAAACATTTAATATGGGTCTAACAAGAAGCGCATAAAATAAGGAATGATTATTATAAACTAATAACAATAAATCGATATAACTAATGCAATAATTGAACTAATTAAGTCTAACAAGAACATGACTTGTAAATATATAGACCACAATTTCCATTATTAGATGCATATAAATACTAAACAGAATATAATTCAAATTCTCAAGTGTGAGGATTTATATAGTTCCCCCAGCGCGTAGTCATTGGTCCCTATTTTTGAACCTAGATATGCGGGTCTGCAAAAATAGATAACTGTCAGGACTGGGTCAAAATGGACAGTCGTGTCCGTAACTAATCGTTGCGTCGAGCAAGGTTGAGACGACGGGCAGACGCGTTTCGAGCGCCTTCCTGGTTGTCTGGGAGGTAGCTGCCCGCACGGACAGGCGTGCGTTTCGAGCATTGTTGGTCGGGCCGTTCGAGGGCATGGTCGACCGTAATGCTGGACCGATATTATTGGGCCGTGCCAAAGGTGAAATCGGATTTGGCCAATTCTAGTCATTGAACCAGTCCAAAACAGGTAATATATATCATAAGAAGGCGGTTAGCAATAAAACCCTTGTTGGTGACAAAATGAAACAGAAGATGATCAATTTGAACTAACAGTTGCATCAAAATGATTACCAAAATCACTTTTCTTTTATAATACTTAACTTGGTCATGTGAAATGAATAGGAAAAATGACACCTATTCCTAATTGCCTAATAAAGTAGCTGAAAAGGACCACATCAACAAAACAAACCCTAAAAATAATGAGACTGAATGTTGGGAGACTGGGTGAAAAGCAGAGATGGAAATAGTGGGGAACTTTGAAGACTAATCAACAAGTATGACCGATTACATGAGAAGCACCTTTTGAGAAATGACAGATATATTATGTAGCACCGACACCTCTGAAAAAGGCGCGTCCGAGTCGATGTCGGACACCTACACCTACACTTGTGATTATGTTTAATTTATTCAATTTTTCAAATGATTACCAGTGCTGTTGTGTCGGTGTCGGTGTTGTGTTCAAGGTGTCCGTGCTTCATATATACCACCAACAGAGGAGCATCCATACTTTGGAAGGGCTGAAAGCAAGACATTCAACAAAAACAGACTTCTGAAACCCTCCCAAGTAAGAGTTTCTAAACGTGTGGCACTTCAAGAACTTCAGATAAATAACAGTTTTCTACGGGATTCACTGATACTGCATTATCTAGCCAAAAAGCTGAATATGTCATCCAAAGGTGATGCCTTTTGGATAATGACAAACAATGTTGTAGTTCTAAGCCCAGAACTATATATAATGAACATATGATGCTTTGGATGACAATCCAGGACAAATTGATCAACTTCTCGAGATACTTCACTAATTCGTAAATAACCATATTTGATACACATATATCCACAGATAATCAATGTCAGGAATATTACCGATAGTAGTACTGCAGTCTCAGCACCTTGTGGGTCCTTGAAAGTGACAAAGGCAATTTGAGATCGTTCGTCATGACTGCAATAATATTAAACATATGATTGTATAATGAAACTTAAGATTTGAAGCACTCTAAAAAATAGTTGACCGCCAAGCACAGCAACTCACTGACCTTTGCATTTCAACATATTCAATATCACCAGAAAAGGAAAAGAACTCCTTAAGGTCTTGTTCATATGCTCCCAAGGAAACATTACTGACTTTAATAGTTTTGACCTGCAAAGAAAATACATGTAACACTAAAAGTTTAAAACCTAGTGGAGAAAACACCTCTGCCGTTCCGATATGTAACACTTAGGATAAAATCGAAGCATGTATGATATATGTACTAATTCATACTAACTAAGAATTGGAACTTCCCTTGTGATGTCTCCGATGACTACCAGTAACAATACAAGAAGCAATTGCATACAAAATAATAAACATTAAAATTTCTATCAAGCTGTCGGCCACTAATTAATCCACAAATATTTTTGAATATTTATATTTGGCTCCTTATAACTACTATTCATAATTACTGAAATATTGTGCATATGCGAAAAAGGGGGATTCGAGAAAGTTACAAATTTATGACAACTAAATAGAGAAATGAAAATGAAGTAGTTTAAGAAATCAATAAATGACAACAGATACAGATACAGAAAAGGCAGAAACCTTAACCCAGACGCGGCAGGATGCTGAAAACATCAATGTTAAACATAAAATGTTCCGAAACAACTCCTAACAAAACATAACTTGATCAGCCAGCACAGAGGAAATCAGATTGCCAGCAGTCAATAATTTGAAGCATTCATGCATTTGGCACATCCATAATCATTGGATAGAGATAATCCAGTTCAAATTTTAACGCAGACTTGGATACATTTTTAAATAAAAATCCCGAGCTAAAACTGGACCATGTATCTGTCCACACTACATTAGAAAAATACTGCCATGTAGACTAAACTATTCATTAGTCAACTTAATTGGATTGCTAAAAAAATATTCTTGCAAAAGCAATGCACTTTACATGAACTTAATTGATTGCTAAAAAATATTCTTGCAAAAGCTAATCTGATTGATGAAAACATTGAAATGATATGGCAGAAACTGCAGTATCATTTGTTTTACAAGAACTAGGCCAATTTGTAATAAAAGAAACTAGCCAATATACAGTAGAAGAAAGAAATTCAGTAGCAGGGATTGAAAGAGACTTCAATGATATCAAAGATGAACTTGAGAGCATCCAAGCCTTCCTCAAGGATGCAGACACAAAGGCTGCTGATGATGATGATGGATCCAATGGAGTCAAAACTTGGGTGAAGTAGGTGAGAGAAGCGTCTTTTCACATAGAAGATGTGATTGATTACTACAACATGTTTTTGGCAGAGAGGGCCAGTCATTCTATATTCAGATCTGCACTCCAAATGATTCCTGGTTTGATCAAAACCATGAATCCGCATCACCAGATTGCTTCTGAGATTCAAGACATCAAGTTATCACTTGGTAGAATCAAAGAAAGAAGTACAAGGTTCGAGTTTCTGTCTGAAAATGAAGCAGGAAGGACTAAAGCTCCTAGAATTGGTGACCCTCGAATGGCTCCGTATTTCATTGAAGAGACTCAAGTTGTAGGATTTGAGTCCGCGCGAGATGAATTGGTCAGATGCTTGGTGGAGGAAAACAATGAGCTCATGTTGGTTGCTGTGGTTGGCATGGGAGGACTCGGGAAAACTACTCTCGCAAAGCATGTTTTTGATAGCCAGCTAGTGAAAAAGAACTTTGATTGTAGATCTTTCATCACTGTTTCGCAATCGTACACCATCAGAGAGCTGTTGACAGAAATGATAAAGAAATTTTGCAAGGACAACAACGAGCCTATTCCAAGGGGTCTGCAGAATATGGATGATGAAACTTTGATTAATCAAGTGAGACAATACCTTGAGTCAAAAAGGTACTTGGTTTTATTTGATGATGTCTGGAAAGATAATTTTTCTGATGGGATTGAACATGCCTTAATTAGTAATAACAAAGGAAGTAGAATCATTGTGACTACTAGAAAAATGCATGTAGCTGATTATTTTAGGAAATCTTTTCCTGTTCATGTCCATGAGCTACAACGTTTGCCTCCAGACAAAGCATGGGAGCTGTTTTGCAACAAGACGTTTAGAGGGCACTGTCCAACAGAACTTGAGGAGATGTCCAGAGAAATTGTTCAAAAATGTGGAGGGCTACCATTAGCTATTGTGGCCATCGGTGGTCTTTTGTTAACAAAAGCTAAAACCCTCATTACAGCTACTCAAAATCACGAATATCCGTCAACACAAAGACATCATAACGCTCACAAACAACACAGAGAATCAACGGATAGCAGAAACTGAAAAAAGAAATATTACCGGATACAAATGGATAGATTAACGAAATTAAAATTTTACAACTAGCTTAAGTTAGTGTGTTACTTCAATTTCATCCCAAATGTTTTGTTTATAAACCCCCACAGCCTCTTTATTTTTTTTCGCGCTCCAATTGTCCAAGCTTATTGGAACTAACCGACGAACTGTGACACCAATGAAACTAGCAAAAGTCTTGCTATTATGCTTGATTGGTTGACCTCTGGAATTCCATTGAACCTATAACAAAATTAAAGTGCAAATAAAGAATCAACAGTCTCACTAATAGTGTTTAACATTCAAATAGTTTCAAATAGAATCAAGAGTCAATAGTTTTAATTCCATTGACCCCCACATCTATAGTGTACTAGTCTATAAATATGAAGAACTGGAAATTGGTTTCATGAAGCCAAACATCTCTTCAACCTATAATTAAAACTTCTAACATTGTCATCCAAATAAATTATAAGAGGTATAAATAAGGCATCAAGTAACCCTGGGAAAGTGGGAGAATGGAAATTTAGCAGATATATTATGTGAGAAAGTATGGATGCCAATACAGAGGCTAAACATGAAAAGCAAACCAAACCAGTAGCTCAGAATATGAGATTTTGATGAGGCATTTAAGTTCCGATGCCAAGAACACACAATTGAAATGTCTACAATCGATAAGAAAAATCAAATACCACAGGATTTAATTATATCATAAAAATCTTACCATTTGAACATGATATATCCAAAATAGCCATTTTATGCAAAAACAAAATAGTCCCCTAGAAGTTGATCAAAACACTTCAACAAAGCTTTTACAAATGGGAATCAGCTAAACAATGACAAAAACTCTTAAATATAAAGAGATGCTGAGATAGAAACTCTATCAATTTTTTCTTCAATAAACAGTTGTCATTTAAGAGTTTATGTAAAAACTATAAAAGAATCACTGATATGAAATTTCAATTCCAGGAGTGGTTCTAAGAATTTGTTATCAAAACCATATCCTCACGACAACATGCAAGTATAAGTAAAACTAGATTTATAATTTACCATCTGGAGATCACGACTAGATGGGGATGCAAACGAACATCATAGATGACTGACCTCTCAAACCACGGAATAACAAAATGTGTCCCTTCAGGATAAACCTGCATATCAAACAAGATACAAATTTAACTTCCAGCAAGAAACCCTAATTCAAAGCAACAAAATCAATACTACCACTCTTTCAATTAATCAATCTAAGCTAAAGAAACAATCATATAGCAAAAAAACGACCTTGTCTTTAACACCAACAAGACGGTTGAAAACAATAGCTCGGTGACCTCCTTCAACATTGTAAAGACTATTCCCAGCAACATACAAACCAATTCCACCAATAACTCCCAATTTCATCAGTGCAGAAGCAGCACCACCACCGGGAACATTCGGAACTTTCATCTTTTTCATATTCATTTACCTTTCCTCACTGAACACAAATTACAAATCAAACGATTGCATTAGCAAACGGCATTGATTACAGTTTCAGATTTCGCGCGAAAAGACGCGCACTATCCAAAATCAAAGAGCTTAAAACAAAGAAAGAAATTGAACTACACAAAATTTCACACAAACAAATGAAGAACTCGCAGATGAAGAAAATGTTAACTGAAAACCTAGAAGATTCTAGAACTGGAAATTGGGCCGAATGCCAGACCAGATGAATATAAGATGGTCCCAATTTTCTGAAAATGTGTTTTGTTTTTTTTTTTATCAATTAATTAATTAATTCATTATTATATATAACATAGCGCTTTTTAATAAATGCTATTATATAGGTAGTCAAATAATAGCGTTTTATACAAAATGCTATCTTAAAGAAGTTTAATAATAGCGTTCTGGTACAAAGTGCTATCATAATTACATAGTTTGTATTATATAATAGCGCCCGATTAAAAAGTGCTATTATAAATGTGTTTTTTCCATTTTAATAGCATTTTTTTTTAAAAGTGCTATTAAATTAGGTGATACAAAAAATCATTTTTGGCGTAGATTATTTTACAAAATGGGTCGAAGCAATTCCTCTAGTGAACGTTGATCAAAAGGTCATTATGGAGTTTATCCAGAGGCAAATAATTTAAAGATTCAGAATACCAGAAAGTATTACAACAGATCAAGGTTCGGTTTTCACAGGGCGAAAAATGCAAGAGTTTGCAAAAGAAATGGGATTTAAATTACTCACGTCAACTCCTTACTAGGCTCAAGCTAATGGACAAGTAGAAGCAACCAATAAAGTCATTATAGGTTTGATAAAGAAACATGTAGGACGAAAGCCAAGAAATTGGCACAAAACTTTGGACCAAGCTTTGTGGGCATGTCGAACATCTCCTAAAGAAGCAACAAATACTACTCTGTTTCGACTTACCTTTGGACATGATGCAGTGTTGCCAGTCGAAATACACTTACAATCAGTAAGAATCCAAAGACAAAATGAAATACCAACTGATCAATATTGGGAAATGATGATGAACGAATTAGTGGACGTGGATGAAGATAGGCTACATGCTTTAAAAGTTATGAGAAGACAGAAAGAAAGAGTAGCCAGAGCATACAACAAAAGAGTTAAAAGTAAGTTGTTCTCGACCAATCACTTGGTATGGAAGGTTATATTACCTATGGATAAAAAGAACAGGTTATTGGGTAAATGGTCACCCCATTGGGAGGGTCCCTTTCGAGTATTGAAAACATTTTCGAATAATGCTTATGAAATCGAAGAATTAGCAGAAGATAGAAGAATCTTGAGGGTAAATGGGAAATACTTAAAAAGGTATAAACCATGCTTGCAAGAGGTTAGAATCACTGCAGGATAATGCATGAGTTTTTGATACTCTCGAAATAGCCTGGATGAGTCAAAAAACAAGTATTTCTTTATATCTGTCGAAATACATGTTCTTTGGGGGCAATTTGTTAGCTGGCTATTTCGAATAAGGAAGAAACCACTATCAAAATAATATTTCGAGTGAAGTACCTAAGGAGATTAATATAAATATTGGATATTGGTGGAAGATATGGAGTCTTTATGTTGAAGGATTATTCAAGTTCCAGCAGATTTCGATTTGGACTTTTTTGGTGTTCGAATTACAAAAGAGCTCCTTTATGTAAGGGTGCCATAAGTTGGAAACGGTCCAAGTAATTGGGTTATTTCGAAAGCAACGAAGAGACAAGGTGTTTCGATTGGTACATATTTCGAATTTCAAATAAAGAGCGCCAGTCTAGAAGACGCGTGGAAGTCAGCAAGCATAGGAAGCCTGCATGCTTCGAACGTGCCGTGATTTTAGGATAGGGCCGTTAGGGTCGAAACACTATAAATAGGTGTTGTTATGTTAGATTTAGATATGTTCACTTTTATGTACTAAAATATCTCAAAATACTCATTACTTCCATGAATTAAGGAAAACGAGTCAGAAGATACAATGTACATGTTGAACATCATTACTTTTTACAATTTCAATACAAGTCTTGCTATATTTAATTCAAATTTACAGTATTTCATTGTCTTTAAATCCTTCGATCACCTTTACAGTATTTCGTTGTTCTTTACATCCTTACATTTCCTTGCATTACAGTATTCCCTTGTCCTTTAAACACTTTGATTTCCTTGCACCATAGTTATTTCGTTGTCTTTACATCCTTACATTTCCTTGCATTACAGTATTCCCTTGTCCTTTAAACACTTCGATTTCCTTGCATTTCTTTGTTTTACTTGTCTTTAAACACAATCATTTCGTTAGACAGTATTTTTATCCTTAAATCCTTCGATTTACTTTTACTTTATCCTTTTAGTCAAACACTTACCTTCACATTCAAGCCATTTTAGAATTACCTTTACATTCAAGTCCAAGTTTAATTCGAAGCCTTTCCTGCCTACATTCATTTAGTTTATTCCTATAGACCATTTTAGAAATCTTTCCTAAGAATCTCGTCTTCAAACTTAACATACAATATAAGTCTATCAATATAATAAATATGAACATAAAACTAAGTTATGACACATGTGTTCTAGGATCAATCTAGTCGATCCTGCAAGTAACCAATAATAAATTAGTAAATTGGAAGACTAGCGGTTGTTTACTAGAAATCACTGTAAACAAATTGGCACACCCGGTGGGACAGTGTCATAACAAAAAGTTTTATCAAACATATTAGAGAAGTTTTAGGATTTTCTGAGTGTGGAGCGCGTTTCAGTACATGAACCTTCGAAGCGGCAAAATAAAGAATAACAATCCACATATACCCAGGAAACAACGTACCAAAATAATGGTTAATACAAGCAACCAAGATGGGGTACAAAATCCTCCACAGGGGGCTACAACAATCGTTTCAATTTCGATTGATGCCTCCAATGCCATTCCTATTGGCAGTTCGAATACAATCCCAGTAAGCACATTAGACATACCATCAAACGTGTCTTCAGTGCAAACTGCGCCACACATAGGGAATCAACAGTATTCGGCCCCCCCTAGGCCTCCAGGTTTCGAACCTTTGAGACCCAGAAATCCTCAGTATGGGATGCCAACTTCGTTTATGGCAGGGTTACATAATGCAACAACTTCGTCCCCACTCCAAGGATCTGGTCAGGAATGAACCATTTGGGTACAAATTTCCAAAATATAGGAAACTTTGCCCAATTGCCTACTCTTACAACCAATAGTCAGGCAGCCCTTAGACAACAGATGGATGATAGCAATCATGATATGATAGGCATCCTAGCCCGCGAAATGAATGATATTTTCAATCCCCTAATCCAGAATATAAATAGAACAAACCAAGAAAATGCAGCCCAGATGGACAGAATAGCAGATTTCTTTGGTGCCCCTAATGCGCCTACAAGGCGTAGGCAAAACCTAGTGGAGATTCGAAATGAAGAATCCATAATTGAACAAGTTCAACCCCATGTGCAAGTGGTCGAAGAAAGAAATATAGGGGTAAGATTAAGAGACCAGGGAATTCAGGAAGTTCAGAATGAACAGCCTAGACCTATACTGATGGTGAATAGGGACCAAAATGCAGACGAAATTGTTCATAGAATTAGAAATGACAATTTAGTGGCAGAAAATAACCTCACCACCATGATTGAAAGAATAATGGTCCAGAATGGTTTAAATTCAGGATTTAGAAGGCCAAATTACACATCTCCTATTGTGGATTATATTTTGCAAACAGAATTACCCAGGGGCTTGAAAGTTCCTAAATTCACGAAATTTGCTGGAGATACAAGTGAATCTACAGTGGAACATATAGAAAGATATTTAACAGAAGCAGGAGATATAGCAAATGATGAAAATCTTAGGATAAAATACTTCCCAAGTTCTTTAACAAAGAACGCTTTTACTTGGTTCACCACCTTGCCCCCTGGATCTGTAGACACATGGCCTTATTTAGAAAGACTTTTCCATGAACAGTTTTACATGGGTCAGTCTAAAATCAGTCTCAAGGAACTAGCAAGCATTAAGAGAAAATTCACGGAACCAATAGATGAATATTTGAATAGTTTCTGTTTGTTAAAATCCAGATGCTTCACAGTGGTCCCTGAACATGAATTGGTCGAAATGGCTGCTGGGGGCCTAGATTATTCCATTCGAAAGAAATTAGATACTCAATATCTTAGAGATATGGCCCAACTAGCAGACAGAGTGCGTCAGGTCGAAAGATTAAAAGCTGAAAAAGCCAGGGCTAGTAAAAATCATAAGAAAGAGAGAATAGCCTACATAGAGGCTGAAGAGGAAAACATTGATGATTCTCAAGACCCTTATTATTTCGATCAATTCGAAATAGATCTTGCAGAACTAAAAGAAGCACCCCCTTATGCTTGCAAAGTTCTACTTCCTTCCAATGGAAAGGATTCTGTCGAAAGTGAAAGGAATGATAAATTCCCCAAGAAAATCTATACTTTCGATATAACTAAATGTGATGAGATATTTGATCTACTTGTTAAAGATGGCCAGTTAATAGTTCCTCCTAACCTTAAGGTTCCTCCGTTGGAACAAAGGAAAAAGAGAGGCTTTTGTAAATATCACAACTTTTTAGGCCATAAAACCTCACAGTGTTTTCTTTTCATGGATTTGATACAAAATGCAATCAAGGATGGCAGGATGAAGTTCTCAGACAAGGGGAAGAATCCAATGAAAGTTGACACTGATCCGTTGCTGATGGCGGAGACTAACTATGCTGAACCACTAGACATCAATATGGTGGAAATTGCTAAGGGGAAAGTTGAGTCGAAGGAGGAATTCGAAGAGGATGCGGACTTCATCCTAATCGAAAATGAAAAAGAGGTTACTGATGGCCTCCCATTGATCAAAAATGAAACAGAAGCCACTGATGGCCTCCCAAAGGTGCTCAAAGCAAAGATATTAAGGGAAAGAAAATTAGCTGAGGCCACTGAAGGTCTTAGGATGAAATTTGAAGAAGTCAAG